CGACAATATGCGTTTTTGCTGGCTGTAGCAGCGCTATAGCGCTGCACAGCAAAAACGCATTAAAAATTACCAGAATTTTTGTATACTTCCAATTGAGTAGTATTTTTTTAAACAGCTCGCATAGATCAATGAAAACTTACAGCACGTGGTCTGGGATATATAAGATTGCTCCTAGTTCACTACTGTCATGGATATTTTAGGCTCACTGCAAGGACTCCGTTTGTCCGTAGAGATGAACTCATGACCGATCCAAACAGCTCTTTGAAACGTCACAGAGGACTTCTTTGTCATGCGTTTTGCTGTGCACTGCTGCAGCGCTGCAACAGGCAGCAAAAATGCAAATTGAGATAACCCTGTCTGTGTATATGCTTGCTTGCGTGTGTGTTTGTTTGTCTGTCCGGGTATTTTTTACCCCTACTCATAAAAGATTTCAAATTCAGCTCTTTAAAATCGTCCAGGTCTCATGCACGGACACGCTTCCCATGAAGGTGCAACTTTGCATTAAAAGATAATACTAGCGGTATTCGGAAGCAGTGCTTACAAGTAATTGATGCACCTTATGGGGCCTTTTTCGCGCACCAGCAACTCCGTGCACTTTGGGGGTCAGTATGTCACAAATTTTAGCTACCGGAGATCCAAACGATCTTACTGCAGCACGAAAATAGTGCAGAGACACATGACTGCACTGGCCCGATACGCATCGCCAGTGATTATTTTATGTAGACGGCTCCGAGAATCCAGGAATAGAACTGGTCGCAGTTAAGACCACACGTGAATATAGAATATCACTGCAAAGTTTCAGTTTCGCAGCTTGTCCAGTAAACGAAATAATCACTTCGTTAGAACATAAAAAAATAATTCTAGTGAATTGATGAGAACGGGCACGGTCATCAGTACTTTACATTGGTTACTCGAGTATACACACATACGCACACAAACGTACAAAATTCTCCTCAGCGCTTTACTTTCCATTTACTCCCAAAGCAGTCGATGACTACATCCTAAGTTGAGTTATATGCAATTAGCACGCATGCTAGTCCCCACCCTACAGTTGTAGTTCTGCACAGGATCACAATCTTATAGTTTGCACACGAAAATTTTTCGAACGGCATAAGAATCAGTTTTCAACCATTTCCTCTATGTTGAATGCGAACCCGAATTAAAGTATTCCATCTTCGCTTCTCGACTGGTCTTTTTTCGATTTTACGGTCGGAATGCTTTTATTGTCCCAGCAATATTCTTGCTCGGGGCTAGAATAACAGCATTGTGGGAATTAAACTTGACGTTTCAGTATCAACCAGAGGTGCGTGCTGTTGGCCAGTGGATCCTCTCGGTGCCTTTTGTGTTGTCAGCCAATTTACATGAAGGCGATTTGGTGGCCAATTATCCATTCGACTCCGCTCGGATACCGAACACCAACGAATATGCAAAAACTCCGGATGATCGTACATTCCGGTAACAGATGCTTCGTTCAGAAAAAACTAAACTGAGATTTTATACATTCGATGACAAATTTTGCCCAAACTTTCACTGCAAAGAAACACAAACTCTGTTAAATCGTTCCTGCTAAAATTTTAGCACTTCCGAAATGCATTTTTCTTTTAAAAACATTCATCTTAGCACCGCAAGCCCGAGCCTTATATAGATGCCACTTCAATTCGAGGTGGGTTACATGCATGCCAAGTTTATGATTTGATCAGTATAACTAAGAGCATTATTAAGCTTTTAGACGTCGTTTCGTAGTTCGGGATTCCACAGCAAATTTTCTTGATTCGGCTGTTGATTCGTTAAACAGTTATTACAAGACGACCTCAAACTTGGATAATATAACCCTAATATACAGAAAAAAAACGCAAATAAAAATTCGCAAACATCAATTCCTTTTGGATCAGCAGTAATAACAGTAAACCTAAAAATTCACTATCCAAACAAAGTAACACCAACCAAACGTCAGCTTCAAAAAAATTGATAAAATTCACGAACTCGTAACAGAACGACCATAACGACGACGTTAAAAAAATACGTTTTTGCACATATGCAAAAAAGCATATTGTGACGACCCCGGTGTGTGTGTGTGTGTGTGTGCACATGTGTGTGCGCGCATGTGTTTGTGTGCGCGCCTGTCCAGATATTTCAACTCGGCAACCAAGCAAGCTTCAGCGGTGAAATTTTGCTAGTGGATTCCCCAGCCAAGTGCCACCCCACGACCCCGGTACCAACCCTTTTACGCATCCGGGCACCGCGTACGAGCGCGTGAAAGTTTTGGCGGCAGAATCGCTAACTCGGGAACCAGAAAAGCTAGAAAGCTGAAATTTTAAGGGGATATTCCCCACTGACGTTGAAAATAAAGATTTCAAATTCAGGCCCCAGGTTCGCGTGATTCTCATGTGCGTGCCTTTCAAAATTTTTGGCGGAAAAATTGCCAACTCGGGAACCAGGAAGATGGGAAGCTGAAATTTTGAGGGAATGTTCCCCGCTCATGTTGAACTTAAAGATTTCAAATTCAGCCATTGGTAAATCGGAAACCAGAAAAACTGGAAAGCTGAAATTTTAAAAGAATGTTCCTTGTCCAAGTACCACATAGTTGCACAATTAACTTTCTGAATTCCAAGGAAAAGTGTGCCACAAATTCTAGCTAATGGGAACCCAAGCGACCTTACTACAGCACGAAATTCTGCAAAAACACATGATCACACGGGTTGCCAATGATTTTAAAATAGTACAAGATGAGAGAAATGTAATCGAATAAATGTACCAACAAACTAGTCTTATTCATCACAAAATGAAGTTCATAGTAAACAGAGCGATACATCATGGCCAAATAAGTTTAGCACTAGTTTGTTACAGATGCGATAAACAAAGCTCATCATCAAACTCTTCACTCTGGTGCGGACAATTGTTTTACTAGTGGAAATAGTACTAGAGACACATATTAATTTTATTTCATAAAAAGCGAAACCGTTTATAATTAGATGTTTTCAAAAGGAATCTAAAAAACAAAATTATCCATCAAATAAAGTTTGATGTCTAGCACACTGTTCTCAAAAATGAAATCGCATACAGAATCAAATACGAAAGTAATTCTACAAGATTAGCAATTGTTTTGTTGAAAAAAAAA